GATTTAGAATGATATAGAAATAAATAAATAATAAAAGAAAATAAAAGTATCTTCGTTTCTCACTTTTGTAAGCAAGGTATATAGGTATACTTATAAAAAATAGAGTCCGGTACGCTTTAGGTACGACGGAATTTGAAAAATTAATTTAAACAAAAAGTACCCATTCTATAGAATAAATTTCTAAAAAAATGCTGATAACAGAATATTTTCTAAGAAAAGTTAAGATTTTGATGTTCCTAACCTAACATTTTATCATTTTCTTACAGTTTTGTCAAGAGTTTCAGTACTTTACTCCTTATACTACATAAAATATGTGAATATTAACAAGACTGAAATATATTTCTATCGTAAAATTAATTAATTAGGGCAAGGAAATTCTTTATAAATGAATTTCAGTTAGTTACAAGATTAAATACGTAAATATTGATATTACCCATTCTTTAATTGTGAAAAAAATTACGATATAGCCTATAAAATTGTAAATTTGATAAAATTTTCTTATCCTTTTTTTAGAAGTATACAATATGTAATGGGTACTTTTTATAGCCCAAGAGCCCATTGCAAATTTTTACCGTCATCTGATAACGAAATTAAAAATACCCCAAAAGCATGGAAAAACATTGTACTTTACCAAATGACACCTGTGCCAAACCCAATCCTGAGCAAAGTGGCTTAAAAAATTATTTTATATTAAAAAAATCACATAAGGCATGATAGCGCTAATTTTGTTTGCCCTTAAAGTTTTCCAGAAAATAACATTCAAATATATCTTGATATATATCGTTTAAGAGAAACATTTTCTTCCTCTTAACATTGCACAAAAATATCTATCCATGATTAGTAGGTAAAAATCATTAAAAATGTGAATCAATGTTTGCTGATTTAAAAATTTATTTGTATGCCTATTGTTGTGATTCATTTTTACAGGTTGCCATAGAAACGACAAAAAAAACTACTATGATTATGGTTTAAAATTATTGTCTAACAAGCTTTTATAATTATTATTGACTATCTCTGCAAATGGTTTATACAATGCCATCCTTTTTCCTTTCATACATAAACATGGTTTAAGAGGTAGGTAAAAATATTAATAATTCAGGTTTAAAAGCTAGTTTCACAATGAATTAGGATTGTAATTTTCAGGGAAAACACAATTGTCGTAGCCATGTCTTATGTGATTTTTTGAATATAAAATAAATTTTTTTTAACCACTTTGCTCAGGATAGGGATTGGCACAGGTGCAATTTGGTAAAGTACAATGTTGTTACATGCCTTTAGAGCATATTTCATTTCGTTATCAGATGACGGTCGAAATTAGCAGTGGGCTCTCATACTATATTAGTGTAATCAATTTTTTTTTCTAAATTTCGAGGTACCTAAATCGTACAGGTGTCAAATTATATGTTCAGTATTTGTATAGTTCTTGATTCATTCATTTACTAACTTTTAAAATCTAAATTTGTAGAAAGTAGAAGAATCTCGAATTGAGTTTCGGTAAAACAATCCCCATAAGGGCATGGAAAGAATGGAATTTTTTAACCCTACTGAAAAAAAAAAGGAAAATACTGAACACCTCAAGGTTGGAGGTTCCAATGAAAATTTTATATAAACCCAACAATTAAAAAATAAAATTGTACGAAACAAAATCAACTTTAAAAGGTATTCTCCAACTATTTCAAACGCGTAAACACAACATGTGAGGGACTCGCGGTAGGACTCGGCAAGCGGTAGGACTCGGGAGGATGGTTAAGAAAAAAATATCTGCGTGCGCCACACCGTTAGACGGCATGGGTTATGAACAATTAATGCCTTTTTAAATGTTTTCTTTCTGTGAGTTTCAAGTTCAAAGATGAGACCTATTTACTTCCGTACTCTGTTGCAAAGTTTAATTTTGTGCTTATGGGCTCTGATTGTAAGTTCTTGGTTTAAAGTAAAAAGGTAGTAATAAACCTTAAGAAAGGCCAGGATTTATTTCTTCTGTTGTGGGTTTTTTTGCATATTATGTTAAAACATTTTCAGGAAATGTCATATATGCAATGCTATTCTCCAATTAATTGTATATTGTATATACACGGCAAATATAATACATTTTTTACAAAAGATGTTAGCTGTGTAATTTCATTTCAAATAAATTTATTTATGAGTTGCAACCTTAAGTTAACAAAATATTAGGTAAAGATGACCAAATTAAAGAGTTGAATAACCGGTGATTGTTAATTTACTAGATAAGGCAGTGAAATAACCTTAAAAATTCGCTGAGTTTGTCTTTGGTTTCAGTTCCATCACGATACATTTTTTTCATATAATTTACTTTAACACAAATAAAAAAAGGTCGTATTTTTTTTAATATAGTTAATATTTTAGAAGATATTAATTTTTAAAGTTTCAATAATCACGATTTCGACGATTTCTTTATTGCGTTATAAGAAGCACCACTTTGTTATGTAAAACAATGTAATGACTCCTAGTACCCAGTACCCTCCCCGTAAATCCGCCCTTCAATTTAGTGGAAAAAGGTAATATATATCGTAAAATAATATATTGAAAGAATAATTACTGAGGCCCTTCCTATGGGGCCTCAGTATTGCATTCGTGCAGACGAAAAAATTTTCTTGCCCCCATTTTTTAAATTATTTTTTCATGTTTCCGATCATTCTGATTCCGAAAATGCAAAAAAAAAAAATTTATCTGGTCATCTGTGTGTATGTATGCCAGCACGATAACTCTTAGAACGAAAGTTCTGATTGACTTGCAGTTTTGATTTTCTTGAATAATTACTTCTAACTTAGAACCCTATTGATTTTCAGAATTTTCGGTTCTTCCTAACTACTTTAATATCAATTTTCTTAAAATCCGCCTATGCATTTCTTATATGACAATTTTAGGAAATCCAATTATTTCTAACGTCAACATTCCTAACATTCTTTACATTCCATAAATTGCAAACATTCTCTAACGACCTGTCAAACAACAGCTGTTGATAGTAAAGGTGAAATTTCTAAGGTGGGTTGCGACCTTCATACTTGCAACCATAACCATTTTGGAGACCATTTTTATTCAAAATTAGTCGCCAAGCCTACCAATTTATGAAAAATATATAAGCAGTTTCTTAAAAATGACTTTTTTTATCTTAAGCGTACTATTTCGCCCCTAGCCACAAAAACATCTTCATCAAATTTACTGGCTATACAGATAATCCAAAAACCTCATTTTTAATAATTTTAGACGATTACTTATGTCAACGGAACAAATGAAACGTGATACATGCAACAAAAAATAAAAGTAAAGAACGTACATTGAATGTACAATACATATTATATTAATATTATCTGATTCAAAATTAATTTAGTTGCGTATTTTTTGTTGTCAAAATTGATTAATCAAAATTTGATGGTTGTGGTCATGGAATTAAAAATAATTAAGAAAATCAAAGTATTTTGAAAAAAGAAATGTCAAACAGGAATTTAAAAAATGTTGAACGGTTTGTCAGCTAGATTTGTAAAGAAAAGAAAGGTTTTTGTATTAAAATTTATATTGGGTCCTTAAATGTAAATATTTAGGAGATAATAAAGAGATAAAAAAAGAAACGGTAAAATTTATTTCACATTAAGGTAACATTTGGGAAGACTTCAAGCGTAAAGCGACAGCGAAGGAGACCGAAAACGGTTTCTTCACGTCTAAACACATATAATTGTATGAAATACATTTGAGAAGGCGCGACCGACGATAGCAGTTTTAACACGATAGGATTTGCTGCTTGTCGCTTGAAGTCGATCTCGATCGCGCCTTTATTGAAGAAAAAAGACCATATAGCAGAGTAAGTGTAGAAGCAGTTATAAGTTGGTATAAGTATAGGAGAAGAAACCGCAAGGTTGTTATCGTTAGGGACTTCACCGTCAATGAAACGCAGTTAAAGAGCGTGCGGAACCCAAACTCTTTAAATGCACTCCTCTTGATATAAAAAATGTATTCTGCCTGTTTTTCAATATATCGTGACACGCATGTCAAACAAAAACCATCTTTTGGACATTTTTTTATAAATTACGACAACAAGGTATGAGAGAGCAGAGAAGGACGACAAAGTGCGAAAAAAAAGAAAATCTTAGAAGAAATTAAATTTTATTTTAAATTAGAATTTTTTGTACATTTTTTAGTATCAAAATTAAATGTTGAGCGGCCCTCCGTATGTAACCAGCGTTTATGCGCCAACCTCTGGCCGCCAGCCATGGATAATCCGCGCACGGATGATCAATTTAAAATGCAGCACTGATAAAATGTGCACAAATAATCGGGTTTCTACTGTTCTAACAAATCAGAACTAAAACAAAGTTAACCATGCAGTTAACAGAGGTAAAAATTCATTGAAAAATTGAAAAAAAAATTATAAAGAATTTGTTGAAAAGTAAACCATAAATATAAACAAAAAAGAAAATGGTTGGAATAGTTGAAAAACATCATATATTCTTTCTATTAGTAAAACCACAAAAGTACATGCAGTTAACAAAGGTAAAATTCATTGAAAAATTAAAAAAAAAATGATAAAGAATTTGTTGAAAAGTAGACCATATATAAAAACAAGAAAGAAAATGGTTGGAATAGTTGAAAAACATCATATTTTCTTTCTATTAGTAAAACCACAAAAGTACAATAGAGATGATATCAGAATATAAAACCTATATCAAGGGCGGCTCCAGAGAAGGGGCCATGGTCCCCGAGATGAAAATGCTTACAATATATGAGCCTTTTATTTAAAAAAAAAAAAAAAATATGTTAAAAAGCGAATGTCAGTAGCAATGGCCCCTTCCAAAAATTAAACTTGAGGCCGCTCTTGCTCTAAATACGCCTGGATTGACGTCATAAAGAACATATATCTACACATATTATAAATAATAAGCCATTACAGTTTTATTGTTATCGAAGTTATAAATTACAAAATATAAATAAATAATAAATTTCAACTTATTATTAATTGGCGTTGTTTTGATTTTTTATTCTTTTAGGTTTTCACTTATCGGCGAGTGTCCAGCAAACGCCCAGAGGTACTCACAATGTTGCTGTCACGTTTGACAGGAGGCGAATCTCTTCATGCAACTGCACCTGCAATTCCACAGCTTATTGGTGCTCGCACATCGTTGCTGTATGTCTGACAAGAATTCACTGGGTATGAAATGTTTTAAATTTTTAATGTTTTTATAAATTCTGTTTTTATACAGTAATAATTACGTTTGTACCAATAATTTTACAAAAAAAAATCCGTTGATTATTATAAAAAGAAAGTGCTTTAGTCAACACATGTTACTACAATGGCGTTCATGCTAGTTAGTTGGACGGATACCTAAGGGATATATTTTTAGATTATACAGATTATAAATTGTTCCATTGGCTACAATATATTGAACAAAAAATATACTAAGGCAGGAGTAAAGTTTGTCGAGGATTTTTTTTTTCTTAAATTGACAGACTTTAAGTTGACTTGTAATTTTGTGTCCCATAAAGTTTGATACAAATGGGAATAAAATATCTTACAAAAGTTATTTATTAGATAAGTAAAATCTAATATTTTTTTCTGTGACGGGAAAAACGACCATTTAATTTTGAAAAAAATATTCTAAAATATCTACCTTTACTTATGTGTATATATATCCGGGAAAAACTACTCACTTTTTTCTCAGGGAAACACTTTGTATTTATGCAGTAGGAAACATTAATAGAAGCTATTAAAATCAGAATAATCTGACAATGAATTAAACTTCTAAACAAATGTCTTGACATAAATCGTCAAAAAACCATTTGTTTCTCATTATAATACTTATTCATTATTTATTCAAAGGGGTTTTAAGGGTTGAATAAAATCGAATAACCAAAATTATCAGCTGTTTTAACAATTTAAGAAAAACATATTTTTTTAATAATAGTGTGTAATGTGCATAATGTAATGCATTTTGTTAAAAAAATAAATCATATCAAACAACCTATTGTACATGATAGAAAAAACTGTTACTCGTATTAAAGATTTGTGGTAATTTAGGTCCATGTAGGTATTTGGACTAGGGATATACCGATATTCTATTGAGCAGAATTTCTATAGAAACCGTTAATCTTACTAAAAAATATGTAAACTAGGAACTGTAGGAAGAAGGTAGTTAAATGCAGCATTACAGCACAGCAATTATAGACTCAAATAATTCAATGGAATTTATTACTTCTCTGTTTTTATTTTTATTGTAAGTAGATCATCGATTAATAGTTAGTTCCTAATAATAAACGAATTTCAAGTAAACCCAGTCCAATGAAATAGAGTGGGGTAGAATGTACGTCAATATGACTGGTGTGCGACTCTATGGATACAGCCATTTTTATTGTTCATCTCCATATCCATAAGTTGGTAGATTACGTTAATAGGTTCAAAATGTACCTCATTATGATATCACCAATATCAAAATTTAATTTAAATAAGTTAAAACATTTTTTAAATATTGAACACCCTGTATGTCGGAAAAAAGTTTTTGAACATGTTTATTAAACAAAAAGTGTTTATTTTGATGTCCCTTACCATCCCTAACAATTTGTCAGTATATTTTCTAGACCAGCGTTTGTTAAAGTGTACTCCGCGGAGCTCCAGGGCTCTGCAAACCCTCTGTGGGGGCTCCGCGAAAATAATAGCCATAATAAATAATAAAAGTATTAAAGGAGTACTATAAGGAAGTTCGGGAGGACCTTTTTAGAAATACCCCGGGGTTGCAAAGTAAAATAACACCTATCTAATTATTATTTTAGGGCTGCGTTAAATATTTTGTAGTCGCTTTGGTAACATGAAGTTTTTATTTCAGCCTCATTTGGTAACCCTTCGCGCTCCAGTCTCCGAATCGCTGTCTCGACTGCAACGCGATCAGCTTCAAAAATTCGCCCAATATCTCATCAGCGAGTTGCCACAGCAAATTCTTCCGACCGCACAACGCCTTCTGGACGAGCTACTCGGGTCCCAACCGTCTGCTATTAATTCAGTGTGCGGTGCACCCGATCCCACTGCAGGAGCGTCAGCCAATGACCAGACGTCTTGGTACCTGGACGAGAAAACGCTGCACGATAATATCAAAAAGATTTTGATCAAGTTTTGTGTGCCTGCGCCCATGGTTTTTAGGTAAGTTTAAAGGTATAGAAAACGCGTATTTCGATTATAAGACCTATAACGAATAAAGATGGTTTTGGCAACATTGTTTTAAGGTATTCATAAAGGGCCATAAAAATAAAATAACCATTTTCTGCCCTTCAAGATGAAAGCAGGTTTGCAGAAGTGTACTTCGAATTTAATATAATCATCATTCAATTTGTTTGGAAATAACTTAAATAGTTGAAATATTTCTAAGTATTTTTTACCTCATTGAATCATTTGTATTTATTTTTTACATTTTATACGTTCACAAAAACAAATTCATTTGTATTTCTTTTTTTCTTTCATAAAAAAGGGATTAAACGAAGATCTCCTTTTTATAAATTCGTGTAAGAGCTGCAATTTTAAAAGCTGATGGAACATAGCATTTATTGTTAGTTACTGTTGTAGAAACAAACTTTTTTGAATGCTATTGGATTGTAATATAATTCAAATGATTCAAATATAATTGAGTGAATAAATAAAAGAAAAGAGAAACTTACATGAAAAATACTGGGTGCTTCTTATAAAAAAAAATTGCTAACGGTTTCCCACTAAGGGATGAAATAAAAAATAAAATCAAAATTATTTCACTTGTCGGACGGGTGTCCCAAACTAATTGTAAATAAAAAAAAAAATAATAAGCGGTTTTCTACCTTTAGAAAAATAAACGGGGTTATTCAATGATCTTTTTCGAAATCACGGCACTCACGGAGTATTTACTAGGCACTATAGAAGGGCGAATAGTTTTCGGCTGTCGGCAATCAAGAGAGGGTAATTCCCAGATGTCATCGAATTTATGCTTTTTCGCTGTGACAAGATGGAAGACCGGTAAGCCCGAGTGGGGGATACCACCACTACAGCCGACTGTTTACAATTTAGAAATATAAAAAACGTCCTTCTAGTACCTTGACAAATAAAAGTAGATAATCGGTACGAAATCGACTCTACAAAATGCCCATTTGGATTTCGGCAAATATAGGAATATTTTAATCTACGAGGGTACTAGCAATTGTTGAAAAACGGTAATTCCTGGGAAACATAAATACTGGGGAACTTCTACATGTTCTCAGGCGGGAATTAATTGAAATATACATTTTTAAATTTAGTGACTTCGTCACAACCCATTGTTCGACTGTTTCCTCTTCTTCCCATGTATTTGGGATCCACAATATTTACAAAAAGGTGAAATTTTTTGTCTGTATGGCTGTAACAAATCATGGTTGAGGACATCTTTTCTTATTTCTACTGCAGCAGAAATGTTTACAGAATCGCTTTGAAATCTGTCTATAGCTTTTACGATAACGGCAAGTTGTTTTTGCTAATACAGAGCCTCTCTATTAGAGGTGGGAAGTTCGAATCTTTTTACTGAATTAATTCAGTTGATTCATTCACCTAAAAAGATTCGTTCTTCAAAATTCGTTCTCAAGTGATTCACTTTAGCGAACCACGAACGATGTTATTCCGCCGATCCGGCGAAGGAAATCGAACCGAAGTTTTACGAATTTGAGTACTAACTAACCTACCTACCTACTAGGTCGTCGAGTAAAATAATTATAACCAGATTTATTTTAAAGTAAAGCGAATTAATGTTTCATATTTCATAAAAAAGGCAGCTGAATAATAAATATATCCTTGTCCGTTAAGATAAATAACAATAACACAATTTTTTTTAAATGCCAATTATATAGCCAAAATTAACGCAAAATTATATATTCACGATTCGTCTTTTTTTGTTTTAATTTTACTTTGATTTAAATTTATTTATCAGACAACACGCATAAATTGTTTACCTAAGCTTAATACACACCTCCTGTAAAGTGAGAAAAACATCAAAGACACATACCGCCATCGCCTGTCAGTTAGAGTTCTCGTATTATGCCGTAGAACGTAGAACGAAAGCGACCAATTTGCCGATGCCGATGTAAAATACCAAATCTTCGAATCCGAATCGAATGAACGAAGCAACCAAACTCGGAACTCGGCATGTTTGATCAATCGCAGAGCCATCGAGCAATTGACTCAAAAAAGATTCGAATCTTTTAAAAACAGGGAATCAATTCATTCGAGTCAGTGCACTGATTCGTTCTTTTTGAACGAATCGTTCGCGAACGACACACCTCTACTCTCTATATATGACGACATTATCTAATATTTTGGAGTTATTTTTATCAAATTCTTCCTCCTTCTCTGTCCTAATTTCAACATGTATGTGATAGTTGCTTATAAATGTTGCAAGTCAGGCTTCATGTTATTTCCAACGGATTTTATTGGGTAGCTGAGGCATTAGACCCTTTTTTCTTTAAGCCACCCATGTGTTAAATGTTTATTTCTAAAATATTTGTGGACCTCAATAATATGCTTGGTAACCGTTTTGGGTGTAATCTATTTTTCTAATAAATTCATTAAATGAAGGGAACACCCATATGTTAGTAAATTTGGATAAGTTTCCTTCAAAATGTCTTTCATATTAACCATTTTTGCCTCATTATCGGTGCATATATCAAAAATACCTTTATTATAAGTTTCTTTATTATATTCAATATTTTTCATAGCTATTTCAGAACAATATAAAGCAGTTTTTTTTTTGTTTTTCATCAGCATCAATCAATATACTATGTTCGTCAGTATGAATACTTGTAGAAATTATAGGGTCATTCTTAATACTGGACCATCCATCCTGCATCATTGTAAAGCTAACGTCTTCAGCACTGAGCTCACTTTTTAGGGTTTCTTCTATTTCCTTATAAACTGTAACAGCTCTTCTGATACTTTCTTGCGGCTAAGTGGATCATATCCAGATCTCAGTGAACAAATCAGTTATATTGAATGCTATGTTACAGCCATAAAATGTTTTGGCTATTTTAATATCCAATTTCTACTTTTCACTTGTGGAAGTCTGCACAACAAAGCTTTCAATACCTAAAACAATTTACATAAAATTAATTATGTTTGTTGCTTTCCTTGAATTTTCTTATTATACTAGACAGGGTGGGTAGAAAATATATACATATACAGGATGTCAAAGTTTAAGTTAATTTGGACATATCAGTAGCGTAAAATTATATTTTCATCTGCGACGCCACTGGAAGTTTTGACTTTGACGCCCCTTTAGGATTTCGATAATTCGATATATGACAAAGTCTACTTATTATTTTAATATTTTCTATTGATTTTTGAAGTTTTGCCAAATAAAGTTGGACCACCCTATACATATAGATTGAATCCAATATCAAAATTGAAGGAAATAATAAAAACAAAAATTAGTTAGCGTTGGTTAAATTTTAAAATTTTAAATTACTTAATTTAAATTAGGAAGAATTTATTGAATTGACGTAATTAATTCTCAAATATAGAATATAGTATAATGATTTTACCGTACCTGCCTGTCTTTTTCTTTTAATAGATACTCGTTGATGCACTTCCTTCAAGAAAACTGCTGCTGCTGCTACTACAACTTTCTATTTCACTCATTCTATTGATGTCCCCGTCAGCTCGTTCAGCCACTTTTTTTAGTTAGCACCGCACATTTCTGCAAGTGTGCTTCTATTCTTTTAATTTTGCTGCTAATTAAAATTTTACAATGTTTACAATCGGCTTTAAGCTTTCCTTCCATTTCAATTTTGTTAACGTCTACCCAACTGAAATCTAATTTTCTTCCTTGACCTCTATTGTTATTCACCATAATTTCAGAATGATGTAATTTCACAACTCGAGAACGCAACGGCAAAGCGCACTTCTCAATGCATCGGATATTCAGTTAAAATTTTAAAATTAAGACGTTTGTGCTCTGAATAAATCCCTGAAGAACTATCGGTGATTCCCCATTCTCCGGCTGTTGACAATGACAGATAGTATTAACAGACCTTCTTGATTTCAAATGTATATGTATGTTTGGTTGCTTACACCATAGGTAACTGTCAATATAAATATATAATAAGAGCAATGTACGTTGGGTTGCATATAATAAAATCGTTGATTAATAGAAAATCATTAATTAATAGATTTTGAGTGCGTTAAAATACATCATAAATGGTCGGTCGACGGAAAAAATATTTTATAACAGAAGAATTTGGTACGTCTATGCATATTGGGCGGTTGAAAGCAAATCAAACAATAAGGTTTCTATTAAAATCTTCAATTTATATTAAATATAAGAAAAAGCTCTAATGTGCAAATACCTTTTTAGCGACGTCAACTACTTAAGCACAGTGGCTCCACCGGCGGCAGCGGAATGGACTTCCTTGCTGCGTCCCCTACGTGGTCGGGAACCCGAGGGAATGTGGAACCTGCTCAGTATTGTTAGGGAAATGTTCAAACGAAATGATCGTAATGCCATTCCTCTTCTTGAAATTATAACTGAAGAGTGCCTGGCTTGTGAACAGATTCTCATTTGGTGGTTTAACACCAAGGTAAGGCAATATTTTATTTCAAGTGGAACTGTTAATAATTTGGAAACTTCAGGTGGCGCTGTTAAGTGGAAATTCCGGTTACGGAGGTAGTGGAGGCGGTAAACACAACAACGTGAATAGCAATACACATGCTTCGCAACATGCTTGTTCATCTTTATGTGATGAGGTTGTTATTTTATGGAGGTTGGCAGCATTGAACCCTGGACTGGCTCCAGCTGAAAGAGATATGCTTCATAGTCAGGTGAGACATTTTTTCTTTTTATATTAATTAGTTTATAATCTTCCATTTGTAATTGTTTTTTTATAGTTCACCACTTGGCACATGAAAATTTTGGAAAAAGTTAGTAAGTGCCGCAACACAACTTCTAGCACACAATCGCACTACAGCAAAAATTCCAGCAGCCTAAAGATGGACCTAGAAGTTTTTACGGGATTCAAACCGGCCATAGAGGCATGTTACTTAGATTGGGATGATTATCCCATGCCCGGAATAACCTACACTCAGGATATCAATCCGATGTACCATTGTCCGTTTACTTGTTTCCGACATGGATCCGACAGTACCAGAGGAGAAAGTCAAGTTACTCAGGTAAGTAAACTTATAAATTCTCAAAATTTTTTTAATAAACCGTTTCATTGTATTTTTTTTAGGTAAATTCAAGTAATGCGGTTCTAAATTGTGAACATCCTCACATTCACGCAACACATTCCCACCATCATCATCACCATCACCACCACCATCATGCCCCATTTAGGGTCACTAGATATGAATATGTAAACGTAATTAGCATGAATCCAATGGAATTTCCACCTCATCCACATCCTCAACTAAATGAGCGAGACGGAAATAGATCAAGTGTTAGCAGTGAAGGATTTTGCGAGGTAAGTTATTTTTTTTTTCTTTTTTTTTTAATGTACTATTCTGGAAAAACTGGACCTGTCCAACATACACTTGATTCTACACTTTTGAGTTTGTGTTGATTTGGTCGTTTGATATTGTTTACTAAAATTGGATAAGTCATTTAGAAGTTAAAGCAATTTAAATGGCTTACCTTGCTCTTATCAAGATCTATGATCAAAACGATGGAGAATTGTCTAAGCTTTCTCATGATGTTATCAAAGACATAATTTAATGTCTCAATTTTCGAGAACTATAGATTTTTTATATTTAATTTTAACTTTACCTTCTTGCAACGAAATGTGGAACTTAAAAGTAATTTCCAAAATTTTTTCAAGACCATTTCAAACATGCAAATCATCTAAAAACAATTTAATTGCAAATTTTAAGTCAAAATAAATTCTAACTCGTTGGCACAAAAGTTTGTGTGATGAGTCCCATTGCGAAAAGTCTGGGGCTCAAATTACCAAAGAAGACAGATTAGTAAAAGTTGATAAATTCAAATCTTTATGTCAATTATCTTTAAAATATATTTGATGGAATCAACAATAGTATTCCACATACTTAAAAATATTTGCAGAGTGCATTGGAATTTTTAGTAAATATTTCAAGACCCATATTTAAATGTCACTTAAATTATGTTTAAATTTTAGATTCACTATACTGCTGAATACTGTCTCTATTAATATCTTGTTCATATTTATTTCAGGTGGACGACGATATGAATATATTGCAAGAAAGCAGATTTAACGACTCTGATTCACAGGAAGGTGGAGGAAGTGACTCCTCGAGTAACATTAGTCAAGATGACCGAACTCCACCAACTGCTCAACATTCCCTTGCAAGCAATAACGATGCCACCAAAGGAAATTTAGGAACTTTCAAACCGGCCATAACTGTCCCCATTCCAACCAACTCTCAATCATGGACAGCTCAAAATGGTAAGTTTTTTTTATTTATATATACAATTTTAGGATTTTTATTCAAAATCCTCAAGAATAGAATCGATTATATTTGTCTGTCTCTGGCCGTCTGTATCTGTCTGTCTCTGGCTGTCTGTCTGTCTCTCTATCTGTCTGTCTGTCTCTCTATCTGTCTGTCTGTCTCTCTATCTGTCTCTGACTGTCTGTCTGCCCGTCTCTGTCTGCCTGTCTGTCTCTGTATGTCTGTCTGCCTGTCTCTGTATGTGTGACTGTCTCTGTATGTCAAAAAAAAAAAAAAACCTTGGATGACCTCAGGCATAAGGTGTTCAGCAAACAATATACGATCCCTCCATTACATTAAAAAATATGTCCAAGATGAATTCTTTTTAATCTATTGCCTCCATTACAGGAAAATACATAGGGCTGTTATTAAAAAAGCTAAGGACATATACTATTATTCTAGAATTGAGAAATCTAATAATAAAGTTAAAGAAACTTGGAATATTATTAATGAATTGAAAAATAAACAAAATTCCAAATCCGTTAAGAACTACATCGATTCAGAAACATTTAATCAGTATTATTGCTCAATTGCTGAAAATCTGACTAATAATTTCAGATCGTATTTAAAAAATACCCGTGTTGACTACAACTTTACTCTAAGTTTTACAACATGTTTTGAAATAATGGAAATATGTTCAGATATTAAAAACAAAAATGCTGCTGGTTATGATGATATTTCTATTAGAGTTATCCTAAACCTTCCTGAATCGGCAATGTTAGTCCTTGCTAGTCTGATCAACCAAAGTTTCGTCGAACCAAATTTGCCGTCATTTCTTAAGACCAGTGTCGCCAGTGCCGCCTACATAAAGGCGGCAGTAACTACGATCCTTCGAACTTCAGGCCTATATCTCTCATTCCTACAGTGGCCAAAATTATTGAAAAAGTTGTAAAAAAAACGTTTGATTCATTATCTAGAAACTCACAAATTGCTGGAAACACAACAGTTTGGTTTTCAAAGGAACAAAAGTACTTCTGATGCGATATTTTCTTATCTTGAACATGCTTATTCTAGAATTAATGTTGACGATTCTGTAGCGGCGATATTCTGTGATTTAACTAAGGCGTTTGATTGCGTCAATCATACAGTACTGTTGGATAAACTTCGAGTTTACGGGATCAAAAACGGAGCGCTGAGTTGGGTAAAATCTTATCTTTCAGAACGTAAGCAAATGGTAAGAGCGTCTCAGGATTCTCAAGTTTTAGATATTAGTTGGGGTGTCCCTCAGGGTTCTGTGTTAGGTCCCATTTTATTTCTCCTTTATGTGAATGACTTAGCTCAACTTGAAATTGCAGGTACTTTCACTCTATTTGCAGATGATACTACGATTTTATGGCACAGCAATGACACTTCTGTCCTATACAACACCATATCCTGTGACATTAAGAAAATCAAAGCATGGTGCGATGCCAACTATTTGCGTCTTAATATGGGAAAAACTAAAATGCTAACCCTTAAATGTTCCCTACCAAATATTCAGTTGGGAAGTCATATTATTGAATGTACTGACACAATAAAATTTCTGGGAATTAATTTAGATAATAATTTGAAATTTAGAAACCATATAGAATTGCTAAACAGAAAACTTTCTTCTGGATGTTTTGCAGTCAGAACTGTGGCAAAAGAACTAGGTTTTAAGGCAGCAAAAAGTGTGTATTACGCCCTAGTTGAGTCCCATTTGAGATATGGAATTGCATTTTGGGAAGGTTGCAGCCGCGAATTATTCAATACTGTTTTTTTGTCTGCAAAAGAGAGCAATACGATTTTTATGTGGAATGAACAAGCTTGAGTCATGTCAGCCACATTTTATTAGACATGAAATTTTAACATTAACATCGTTGTTCATTCTTGAAACCACTTGTATTATACATAAAAATAAATCGAACTATGCCAATACTAACGCTCGGCTAACGCGACAAGTTGACAACCTGCGGTTGCCCATACCCAAATCTGAGCTGGTAAGGGGCTCTTTCATTTGTAATGGGATTAAAATGTACAATAAGTTGCTAAATGATATTAAATCGACGGAAACGGTCACAACATTTAAAATACTGCTTAGAGATATGTTGATGACAAAAGCATATTATGCTTTGACGGAATTTTACAATGACTCTTAAATCGTTGTGACTGTTTGAACGTACATGTTTTTGTATTTATATAATTTTATCGATGTTGTGTTACGTATTTGTATTTGTAATTAACCTCTAATTTTACATTTAACGTTTTTATACAATTTTTAAATTTTTATGCATGTAATTGTTAGTACTACATAATAATTATTTGTGTTTGTCTGTAAGTTCTTGTAGCTTTGACAATAAACATATATTGATTGATTGATTTTGAATGTCTGTCTCTGTCTGTCTGTCTCTCTCTCTGTCTGTCTCTCTCTATCTATCCCTGTCTTTTTCTGTCTCTGTCTGTCTCTATCTGTCTCCCTGTCTGTCTGTCTCGGTGGTAAAGCATTATCGCTAAACATACATAAAAAATGAAGAGTTTGAGTATTTTCTCATGGATCCAATTATTAGATTTTGACCAAATTTATATGGGACCACCCCTGAAGTACCCCCTTTCTAACAAAAAAAATCATTGAAATCGGACACCGTGTTAAAGAATTATCGCTGAACATACGTAAAAAAAAAATATTGCGACGAATTGAGAACCTTTTTTGAAGTCGGTTAAAAAAAATAGAATTCCTCATTTAAGGTGGCACAAATAAAATAAAACAAAAGAAAGAAGCTTGGGTAGTGTATATGAAATATCCTAAATTATTCAATATTTAAACTAAAAAAAAATCGAATTAATCACTCCTCCGATATGTTTCTGATTTCTTTATAATTGAGTACCTATAACAAATGTTATAAAAAAGTTTTATTGAATGTATTTTTGTTCTTGAGGGTTTTAAAGTTTTAACGATTTCGTTCACTCCCTTGATCCGATTTTTTAATGAAATAATCATTTTAGTATGCACACCAACATCTCGACGTGCTTCGAAGGATGAATCGACGACTTCATCGAACTCCGAATCGCCACAATCTAGCGACGAATACAACATGTACTTCTATAACGCTAAAGATGCCGGCATGCTACCCAACCCAATCCAGGGCAGCCTTAAAATGGACGATCCCGATGACAAATCCGGAATGTTCTCTAGCTTGAAAAAGTGCGACGATCCTTGGGACGTGTTATTCTCTAGGGCGGAAGGATTGCACGCTCACGGCCATAGCAGAGAGGCGTGCATTTTGGGAGTTAAACTATCCGAGGAATTGTTAATGAATCCACCTGATCTGATGATTGAAATCCCACCCGTTCCCAAGAAAAAAGGTAAATAAATTACTAAATTAAAAATACAGTATTCTTGGCTTACTTAGTTTTAAACACGGTACATTAACTATTTCTTTTAGAAGGGCGCTAATTTTTTTATCTTCTTTTTATTATTAGCAAGCCAAATGAAGTTAATTTATTAAACAGTTTACTATACATTGTAGCCGTTTCTCAAACGACTGATGGCCAACCCTAATGATCAGGATAAACTGATCATCTGGAAACTATCTTGCGGTCACATGTATGCATTTGATCAGTTGCAAACGTTGTCGTTTTATTGTGAAAAGGTTATTAGAACGAAAAAAGAAAGTTTCGTTTTTTTTTTTGACAATACGACTGTAAAAACCAAATGTTAGGAAAAGTATTCCACTATGGAGTACTAAAGGAAAGGAGTCTATGAACAAATTTCATTCCTCATTTTTGTAAGGTTAGCCAAATGGACTATATCTGATCGTTCGTAACTGATTCTTAATATTATTTGGATGTTAATGTTGTGAATTAAAGTGTTTTTCTACAAAAATTGGTAAAAAAGTATTAACAATTGTGAAAAAAGTACCAGAGCGGTAAAAACCAACGGGATGTAGTACAGATATAGATATAAAGCTAGAGAAGAAACTCTGTGAAGTTAATCCAAGAGTTAAAATCCAAAATCCAATACTAAGTAAAATCATTTATAAATTTATAAAAAAAACTAGTTACAAACTTTACGGAGTGTAGTTAATTTTATTACAAATTTTTATAAGGCATAAAAAATTTCGATTTTGTATTATATTTTTTTTTTTTTATAGGATTCTAAATGTTTAAAACTGTGGCAACATAGGTGAGCAAGATCACGTCAAGTGGACCCCCTATTTTCCACTTGGTCATAAACATTAAGTCCATATATTGTTTTTATAAATAGTTACCATGAAAAATGAATTCCCAAAAACGATTTTTCAAAATTTTGACTTAAACAATAATTTGTTTAACAATGAAAATTTTGAGTACTTTTAATTAAATAATGGATTTTATATCAACCGTTAAAGATAAATTAATGAAATTTTTAGGATTTATTGTCAAATATCTATAATTGATAAAATATTAATAACTTAAAATTATTTGTTTATTATCATATTGTTAATTAACTTTTAAATAAATAAATGAAAATTTCATTGATTTCTCGGTAAAAAATGAAGTTTTTTATCGGTTACATGCATTATTTAAGTTTAATATCCCGAAATAAAATTTCACTGCTCGCTATTAGTTTAAACAATGTGAATTTATTTTTCATAGCGCCCGGGCGCCAGACACTCTCAGAACACTGTGCGGCCGAGCGTCTCAGGCTACATAATTGCAGTTTTGGTAGGTTATAATTAAAAATAACAATTCAAAATGTTATTGTTCAACAAATTTTATTATTTTAAACAATATTATGACTAATACAATAAAATAATCTTCTATTATTACCCAAAACAAGGAAAACGAACAATTAATTATTAAATTTTGTTTACACTCGTTATTTTTTTTTAAATTTTGTTAATGAAAACTTTCTCATCTTCCGAAATGAACTTACATTGCAAATTGCAATGATACAACATTCAATGGTTTGTAATAGTGAAATTGGCGAGTATTTTTCATCGTAACTGTTCGTTCGAATCGTTTTTGGTACCTTTGTTCATGTAAGTAATGATTCTTTTGAGAACAAAAAGCAAAATTAATTTGTTAAAAATAACTTTCTGCCTACAGGAATAAAGATAGTAATGTCGTTATGTGTTTATTATTGTCACGTTGAAGGCTAGCACGATTAGCTTGTCTTTTTACACTCCCTACAACAGCAAAATCATTCTTATGATTGATTAAGTTGGCAATGTTATATTTATTCTTATTTATATTGAAGAGATGTACCGAACTTGCGTCGTGACTAAATTTCTCTGAAATCACCACAAAATGTTCATGCTTCATTTCTCCATTTTCTTTATAATACGCGACGTACGAGTGAAGCGTAGCCTGATCATTGGACCAATGATGCGATTGGATAGCATCCTTGCACAAAGAAATAATAGTTTTCGGAAAAATCGAGACATACTATAAACTCTCCAACTTCAACAGATTCTTTTTGTTTGGAAAAATAAGACGCTTGAGACTTTGCCACAAAATCATGCTTCAATAGCTCTGACCACTTATTTTTTAACTCATTTAAAAAATCTTCTTTTGTACACTTCGCTTCAACGATTTCAGTCCTGCAAAATTTCAAACGAATGTATTAGATTATAAACTGCGTAAAAATAACTAGTCAAATTGATAAAATGAAATTCAAAATAATTTTGTATCAATGATAAATGTTTACTTTTATTAATTAAGAAACAAACAGAAGTTCTTCAATTATCTAATGAACAAGTTATTCTTTTTAAGTGTGTACTGACCTCAATAATTATATGAGTAATTTGTTTATATTTAGTCTTTTTTCTTACTTGTCGGTACTTTTCCATTACTTAAAAGATATTGCCTTTAATAATTTTAACTTTTCAATAAAGAAAACTGGATACTTTTTACACATAGAAAAAAAACACGATGATGTTGGTTGCACGCAAACAGTGCTTTGAATCAGGTCATTTGAACTTTCAGAGAAATCAATTCTTTTCTTTTTGAGTTCATTTTTCAGTCGATGTAATTGGAATTTTACATTTTGGTGAATTTTGCATACACACATAATATGTGTTCCATTTTTTTCAGCAGAAATACATTCCCGTGGTCTTAAAGTTTGAAATTTGGTCTGCCCAATTTTCTCACCAGGAAACGCTTGTTTAAATTTTTTAATTTATGTTAAATATTAAGAATCTTTTTTGTTTCTGGATTTTTTACCATTTTCTAAAACCGTAACATAATCTTTAATTCCAGGCATCACACGGTTAACATCATCTAATAAATAAAAAAAAAATTACGCGATCGAGTGTTGAATCGTCCAAGCTTTTACCTTTTTTAGTATCAGGCTCTGACGCAAATCCTGATTTTTTTCTAATATTTTTCGCAGCTTGTACCAGTCTCTTCGAAATTTTAAATTCGCATTGTATCATTTTTATTAGCCAATCCAAAGGAAGCGTAGTCTACACTTGGATTTTTTCAGATATACTAGTTGTTTGGTTAAAAGCAGATTTAAAATTATTCATAAGAACTTCATTTGGAGTGTTATTATTATCATCATCACTACCACTTAATTTCTTCACAGAAGCTTTTTTGCACTCAGATACACTTGACACTCGTCTCAATTTTATTGGTATAGCAATTTATTAACGTTACCAATTTTTACTTGATTATCCACAGCATCGCATTTTAAGGTCGGGTCTTTCATGTTATCATCTTTGATCTCATCAACTGGATCAGTTGCATCAACTCTTGATTTGTTATTTGCAGGTTTTTCAAAATAATTTTCCGGTATCCTAGGTTTACGACCCAGATAAATTACCCTCTCACAAGAATTGCACATTTAATATTCAATAGCTGTAATTAAAACTAAGTTTTTAATAACGTATTTCTTTTTTTATGTAAGAAATATTAAAATTATAATATTAATGGATTGATAAACAGAACACAAATGCACAAAACCTCAGCTCTTTTTTTTTTAATAATTATTTAACTCATATGCATATGAACTTATTTAACGAATAAACTGGAATGCTTACTGTAGATAGCAGGGAATCAGAATTTCAGTAAATAATAAAAAAAAATTATTTTAAATTATAAAAAAGTGTTATATAGAAAATGTTGTCAAACGTATGCCTTGTCTATTTCAAATCAGTAATCAATCAATCTTTTTTGTTTCCTTTTTCCATGGTTACCATTCATCGGATAAGTAGGGTGCTAGTGTACGCAGCTATCGACCAAGATCATAATATATGTGATATTATAATGGTACCATCTGACATTGACACTTGACCAACCTCAAATAAAAACTGACTGAAACCTTAAAATAAATTGACGTAAGTCAAAACTAAAGGTAAGACTATGTGGTGCTATGATGTCGCCACACTTACTAAAATTATTTTGTTATTTACGTGGATACATAAGTAACAAAAATGAAAATCGTAACCAAGCAGTTTTGTAAATCAAAATGGAGTACTTACTAGTAAATTTAAAAATGATAGCTTACTGATTTACCAAGTAAAAATAAATATAGAATAACACGGTTTTGTAAAATTTATAATTAAGTATTTCTTAATTTTCTCTGTTTAGTGTAATATTTACTTTATTGCATTGTTCATAATATTGTTCGAAAGAATAAAATTTATTATTTATACTATTATTTGGAATTGTTATTTTTAATTATAAACGATCAAAGCTGCAATGTAGCCTGAGACGCTCAGCCGCGCGGTGTTCTGACAGCGCCTGGCGCCCGACGCGCTATGATACATAAATTCACATTGTTTAAACTAATAGCAAGCAGTGAGATTTTCTTTCGGAATATTAAACTTAAATAAATAATGCATGTAACCGATAAAAAAACTTCATTTTTTTTTACCGAGATTTGTCACGTTATGCGTGTTTTTAATAAAAAATGTCACGTTTTACGTGCTCTTTAATAATTAAGGGACTATCTATGTCCCGGGGGTCAAATAACAAAATATATAAATTCGGACCTCAATTGTATAAGGACTCTATTGCCTTCAACTAGGCTTCATGGCCATGAACTATATGGGGGGTTTATTCGGCAATTAAAACGTCTTCTTAAAACAAATATAGTATATTATTTAACATAAAAATACAAAATAGGCTACAGCTCGACATACACAAAAATGGGCTCAATGTAATAACAAGTACACAAAACGTAAACTTATCAACTCCACTAATATTTGGGGCACATGTCACAACTCTTGCTTGACTTAAAACTGCCATTTAAAATACAAAAAAAAACTTTTAATATAAACTATGTAGAGCTACTACTGGGAATCTACTACAAGGGAGACCTCCTATGGGGAGGATCCGTTCCCTGTGGAAAAGGCCCTGCGCATCCCCTCGACATTACCTTTATAACTTTATGATAAGTTTATTGTTATCAAACTAATATTTAATAATTATTAAATAATCAACCTTGCACATTATTGCGATGCAAAACAAATTGTCGACATACTTAAACAAAGTTTTATGTACAGGATGTTATTTTAATAATTAAATAAAATTAGGAAAAATATAAATTTATATAGAGAAAGTAAAAGTTGAAAAGTCTTTTGGTAGGTAGAGAGGGGGTAAACGTCAAACCACGTCGGGCGGCTCCGAGAATTTCACAGTAATGTTTACCTGCCAGTGTCGTTTCATAGAATAAGTAATTTTAAATTGTTATCGGCGGAACCGGACAATCGCATGTATTTATGGATTATAAATAATTATTAAACATGTATTATAATATTCAAATTATAATTTTACAAAATTTCAACAGCTATTCACAATTTATTAAACTATTTACTCGAAATTGTTATTCAACATCTATAAAATAATTTTGTACGCCAATGTATAGCGTCCACTTCGGGGAGATCCGCTGCCAACCTGTCAATTTATGTGTATAAAGTGGGAGAACTGGCAAAAGCATTTCCAACTTTTACTTCTGTTTTACGAATCGTGACAATATCAATGAAATTTTTATTTGTTTATTTAAAAGTTAATATGATAATAAACAAATAATTTTAAGTTATTAATATTCAAAATATAAATATTTGACAATTAATCCTGAAAACTTCATTATTTTATCTTTAACGGTTGATTTAAAATCAAAATTTTGAAAAATTGTTTGGGGAATTAATTTTTCATGGAAACTACTTATAAAAACAATACATGAACTTAATTTTTATGATCAAGTGGAAAATAGGGGGTCCACTTGACGTGATCTTGCTCAGGTTAGAAATGATGTTTTGCGAATTACACTTTTTGGAAGATGATTTTTTTTTAATATGAGATATTTATTAATTGATGGTACTGTTAGTCAAATTAAAAGAGGGAGACCAAAATTAAAAGATGAGGCAATACCATGCATATTTTCTAATTTGAAAAGAAAAATGATTTCCCTGGATGATATACTTGATGGAAAAGTGCAGTTATTTTTGTAGCTGCTAAAACTTTTGAATGTTTAAAAGATAATTTAAGATTTAATTTAGACTCCAAATGAACAAGGGACATAAATCTAGTTACAAATCTTAATATTACTATATTTATATTATTTGTAGGTCAGAATGAATCATATTTTTTTGCAGAATTGATCAATTGTGAACGTTTTTCTTATCTGCATAAGAAATTGCTGATTTAAAACACAATAAAAACATTCACTAGAATTCCTTTATTGAACTATACAACTATTTATTTCGATTTAATTTGTGTGGTTGTAGTAAGTGGTGATACTTAAAATGTAAAAAATTCCGGCTTTAAACACTCGAAGAGATACTTATTGTCAGAACGAAGATTAAGTAATGCTTCCGTGAACGGGGAGACTATCATATTTATAACCTTTTATCGGATGTTGGTATGCTTTATTTAATATTTTTTTATAATTTGTATGTATTTCATAGATCACTTGGAATATCTGAACCCCTGTGGTCATTTCTAAAAATTCAATTAGCATTAATTTTTTTGGACCACATCGAGCGAATGTCGATTGGACCATTACCTCTACTCTACTAAAATGAATAGCTATGACTGATGTTGACTGTATACGAGTGCTGAGCTGATGCTCCAGAATATCAATCAGGACGCTGGGTGGTCTGAGTCACACCTGAAAGGGTCCATTGAAATAATGAGACCAACTAATTGACATCTCTGCCCATCAGTCTTTTGTGAAACGACTCTAAAATTATGTATATAATACAATCAATTGCCAACCACTACCAATAAATCTAGTTCTCGTTGAGATAGTTTCGTCATTGAATATTTTATTACAAATTATATTTTGTTTTATATACGTGTATATTATGGTTACTTATTTCAATAAAGTATTTTATTTATTCGCAGGCAAAAAACAACAAGTAAATCCGGCCACTCATCAACTTAGCTGTCTGGCATCCGGCACACTTTCTAAATGTGCCTTCCTATGTTCGGTGCTAGCAGAGAATACCGATCATTTCCATCTGGCGTTTCGCGTTGGTATGTTTGGCCTCGAGATGGCTCGTCCCCCGGCAAGCACGAAGCCTCTAGAAGTCAAACTTGCTAATCAAGAAGCAGACTTGGTGAATTTGCTAAAGAGGATACCCTTGAATCACAAGGAATTACAATCTTTGAGAGAGAGGGCGGAGCAACTCAAAGAAGGAACGCTGCGATCAAGAGGGGAAGCCATGTTGCCCATAATGTTGGCCAGCTTCATTTTCGACGCCCTCGTCGTGCCCAACATTACCGGAAGGGATAGGGTTAAATTGATGAACATGCGATTACCGACGGATGAGGTTCTAGGTTTCGAAGCGGCCGTAGCGGCTCTAGGACTCAAAGCTAACGTTTCAGAAGCTGATCACCCTCTTCTTTGTGAAGGAACAAGAAGACAAAGAGGCGAACTGGCGATTGCTCTCTTGATGTTTTACAAAGACGACTGCTGGAAAGTAGCAAGAATTATGGATAGATTGCTAGATAAGGAAATCCATCAGTTGTTAAAGACGCCATTGACAAGTTCCTATTATTCGAGCAATCCACCCACGAAGAGCCAGTATTCAAATTTGAAACGAGAAGACTGTGATAAAGTAGTTACACCGATTAGTCCGTTTATTCCACATACTGAAATGATACCAACCGATATGGGTACGTAAACAAATTTATTTTATTAGATTGCCCTACCAAATGGTAAGGTGGCCCATCCTAGCCCCTGCTATAATTCTGTTCCATTTAGGTGTTTTGGTAAGTAGTGTCGAATTATCAATCAACACCTATTAGTTCTCATTATCTTTGTCCAATTTATCTCATTAGTAAACTATTTGAACACTTTTTGTAAATATTTGATTTGCAATAACCAACTATATGTTTCCTTCTAGCGTGTTGTAGCAGACCCCACAGTTCGACAAGCGCCGAGCTGGACCAAGGTATGAACAATTTATCATTAAATCCTCAACAGCAAGGTTCCGTCCAAACAGGTGCTGTAACAAGGACAAAGGACGGAAGGTATAAGGGCAAGAGGGCTTATCCTTCTATCCCGAATCAACCATCGGAAGCTGGAGCTCATTTTATGTTCGAATTGGCTAAAACTGTACTCAATAAAGCTGGAGGCACGAGCAGTACCTCATTATTTACCCAACCCTCAACAAGTCAAAATTGTCACTCGCCGCATAGAGCACTGCACATGTGCGCTTTCCAATTGGGACTCTACGCATTGGGACTGCACAATTGCGTCAGTCCTAATTGGTTGAGCAGGACTTATTCTTCTCACGTGTCCTGGATTACAGGTAAAATATTAGCCTAACGTCATCGGATTACATATAAAGCACACTTCTTGTCTTTTACTTAGGGCAAGCGATGGAGATCGGTGCAGCAGCAATATCTTTCCTTATCGATACCTGGGAAGGCCACTTAACGCCTCCAGAAGCCGCTAGTATAGCGGACCGCGCTTCGCGAGGCTGTGACGTCAATATGGTTCGAGCAGCAGCCGAACTAGCGCTATCTTGTCTTCCTCACGCGCACGCTCTCAATCCGAACGAAATCCAACGAGCCATTTTGCAGTGTAAAGAACAAAGCGACGATATGTTGGAGCACGCCTGCCACACAGTGGAGGTGGCCGCTAAAGGAGGCGGCGTTTATCCAGAAGTTCTCTTCCAGGTAAGTGCAGTTAACACTATAATCACATTGGTTTATTTTGAAGTTGTTTTTGTTAATGTGTAGTTGGAAAGTTAAAATAAAACGCGAAAACGCAACAGGTTGAAACCAGCAGGTTTATTTTGCAATGCCATACTGGAAAAAACGGTCAGTGCAGTGGTTGTGCTGAATGTTAAGATAACTCATGTGCCGCTTTCTGGATTCCTTAATGGTACTGATTTAAAAAAAACCAATTCAACAACAGTCGTAAATAAAAACCATTTATTTCAAAAAAATTCGTTTTATAGGTTGCCAAGTATTGGTACGAGCTATATGATAGACACACTCCTGGAGGAGATCAATTGTTGGACAACGAGATGTCCCACGATCAACTTATGGATTCTCATGGAGCTCTAGTGGCCTTGATAGAACCCCCTATTCCTCCAGAAGTGCCGCCCACTGCTCAACCCGTCGTTGTAACTACTGCTCCCCCATATACTGTAAGTATTAATATGACCCTATTACTTGGATTAATTTGTTGTGAATTATTTAATGGAACCATTTTTTTTTCAGCATGCTGCTCCTCCAGTGGGTATGTATGTTAGTCATTACAATTTCGTGCCGCACCATCCCCATCATCCCCCTATCGCTTACGGGGGCCCTCTACACCCTTTGCAAGCGGCTCAACCGTTACCGATGTATCAGTTCCCGTATCCACCGCCGACCCCTCAAGCAGCACCCGCAGCAGCGTTCACAACTGTACCCACATCATATGCGACTTTGCCTCCACCGCAACAGGTAAGGGGATAAATAAAAGAGCTAATACAAGCGGGAAAGAAATTATCATGGACATGAATATAATAAATTTTTACCTACTTTAACTTTTTAAATTTCAAAATCGTCTGGATTCGCGCCTGGGTCTGGGGGGTGTTAACCCCTAAAACTCACCTCGCAGCGCCACTGGCCCTAACAACACATCGGCCAATTAATACTATGACTAGACAAAATCTGCGCCTGATTACAGACATTCTGACTGGTCATTGTTAAGCACCTTAACAGTGAGGGTCTGTCAGACTCCTCACTATACAAGGAATGTGAACAAGAGGATTAGACTATCGAGCATACGCTCTATGATCGCCCGATGCTCTCATCTACTAGAAGATTAGTGTTCAGTGATCAGTTGACCAACATAAGAGAGACATCTCTTGGTGAGCTTGTCAACTATATAAAATCTGTAGGCTGGCCATACGAGCTAAGATTCGGGAGGATGCACAATGGGCCTAGTGAGGCCTAAGTAATGTAAGGGAAACCCACGATCCCCGCGTTACAGGTACAGAGAACTAATAAATATTTATATATTTCACATTTAATATAACAGCTCTGAATATCATTATCTACTTGAATTAAATTATAAGTAAAAAGGAGGAGGGAATAAACTAGGGTACAAAAGAAAATATCGATTTTGCAGTAGATTACCCACTGCTTTTTATTTCAACGTTATATTAATGTAAACAAAGCTTAAGATCTTTATTTAACTAATTAAATAGTTTGATACTCCCTCTAAATGAGTCTTTTGAACTTGTTCAGGAACAACTAAATTGATTATTGAAAAATACAAATACAGAAACATGAGAAAACTCCAAGAATGTATCATAGAATCGTTGAGCGACCCTACCCCTCCCAAAAATAACTACTCCTTTTGGTAATACGACAAAATTATATCCAAAGAAAAACAGAGAAAATATTAATTTTCTTTTTTGACCGGTTTTGTCTTTATTAAGACCCATCAGCAAGTTATAGAAATTTTAGATCCCAATGTCTAATCGACCTCCAAGAATGACGTTCTTCTTAGTAAGCAAAATCAAAGCTGAAATTAGGTTGAAATTAATTTTCACTTTATCACTCTCTGCTGTTTTAATTCGGACATAATTCAATGATTGTTGTGGTATTAACCAAAGAAGTAGTTGTTTCTGTGACACGGTCTTTGTGGTTTTCTCATTTCTCTTTATTTTTAAATTGGTCACATTTGAGTATTTGAATTTATTTCCTTTAAATTGATTATTGTTATCGCAGGCTGCCTTTACAAGTGCACCGTCCCAATACGCGCAGCCTCCACCTCCCACTCCACCCACCGCTGCAGTATTTGCTGCCCCGCCAGCTCAACAGGGATCTCAACCACCTCCTACGCAACACGTGCAGTATTATGGACCGGCCGTCACAATTGCGCAACCCGTGCAGGGTCTTAGACCCGCTACTCACATGTACGCGGCACCACCACCAGGTAAGTAATTTTAAAAGTGATTAGATAATAGTATATTACACACCGAGGTGGGAAGAGTTTCATTCCTGTCGTGAGATTAATTAGATCACCGAGACGCGAAGCGTCGAGGTTAGCTATGATCTCGAGACAGGAATGAAACTTCCTACCGAGGTTTGTATACTATTTTATTTACAACCATCATATTTCGATCAAAGTTAATAAATCTCTGTTTTGTTCTGAACATACCTAAAATATTACATTTAACGACAAATTACCAAGCGCGCGGTTTTCTCAGAATAATCAAGTAGGTAAATATATTGTTACTGTGATTACGGGGTAAACAACTGTCACCAATATAAATAAATGTCAGATAAAACGGATATTAAATTCGCGAATAATAAATATCAATAAGTAATTTGTTATATTTTAGTTCATTGTTGTTTTTTATTGTTTGCCATTAAATAGGTATTATAAAATTTGTCAAAAAAATGTGTTATTTTTTTTTTTTTTTTTTAATATAAAAAATATTCATCTAGATTAATAGATAAAATGAGGGCGGGAAGTAGAGGTGTGTAATGTGACACTTCCCAACCTTTAATAAAGTTAGTAATGACAACATTACATATATGGTTGTAAATAAAGTTTTTTTTTGAACGATAATAAAGAACTATAATCTATAGATATCCAGATACCATAAAATCAATTAAATTCCTAACATTGTTTAAAAATTCTGTAAAAATATATTCATTGTTGAATCCGTTTCGCGGGAGAAGAACCCACCTGAAGTCTTATGCGCGAACGTGATGTTTGATTTCAAATCAGTAGCGTATCCATTTCAAATTCAATTCTTAAAAAAAATTTAAATATGGAAATTGTGTTGTCATTTTCACCAGTTTTAATGCAAGAAATGTTAAAATAAAAAAAAAATTAAATTTGCAAATCCCTTAAGTATAATTTATGACCACCGTAACGTAACTTAACTTAACGCCGTAGAAACTTAACCTAACATATAAAAATAAAGTGTATTTATAAATGTCCGTAACGCAAGAGTTGAGCATGCGTGTTGATTTCAGAGATTATCAAATTACTGACAACCTTATGAAATAAACAAGTGTAAACTATGTACCTAATCTCTAAATAAAACTTATAAATTATGATTTTGCTATATAGAAAGAATATATTAACTACTTTAAAAACAATAATATAAAATATAATAAAACAGAATAGTTTACTGAAGATGTTGATTGTTTTTGAGCAATAATGAGAATTTAATCTTTCCTAGCAAACTCGTTTTGTGTCTTATTTCAGTTCTAGACTTGATGTTTATAGGTATATGCAGCAACACTCATATCTCATAAATAGTTTATCCCCAATAACATAAACACAAATCATTCATGATAATGTATGTCCATCAAAAAGGAGAATGATAGTTTACAAATGGTATTTGTCTAATCATTTATAAAAAAAAATAATAAAAAGAGAATAATTGACAGTTATCACATGCTGAACTGAGAATTATCTCATTGGCTAACCGTAAGGTCTTAAGTTAAGTTGTTGAGTTAAAAGTTGGTGAACTTTCTACGGTACGTTAAGCTCTTAAGTTACGTTACGAACATTATAAATAAGTATACGTAAATTCAATATTTCAACGTCTTACGTTAAGTTCTTAAGTTACGTTACGGAGGTTATAAATTAAGCTTTATATACTCTATTGAATATGTAATATAGAAAGGAATGATCACTTTTATGAGTTTTTATGGCATAAATCATTCAAATGGTCAATAAATATGCTATTGAATTAGTGGGTGAAAATTGGAGGTAGGGGTGAAAATGCAATCTTTAGATTTTTTTAATTATATCTCGAAAACGAAGCAAAATTCAGGTATAGTTAATAAGAAATTTTTTGCAAATGCCATTTCACATCGAATTATTTGTTTAAATTTTTTTTAGGGAAAAATTATAAAAAATAAAAGAATTAAATAGAAAAAGAAATCAAATAGCAAAAGATCCATTTTTTTACTTTTTTGCGTTCAATTGCTTTCATGCAGTTAATATAAATTTTTTGTAAATAATACGAATATTTCACATCAAATTATTTATTTAAATTATTTTATGTAAAAATTTTAAAAATATTAAAAGTATATTAAATTTTCTTTAAAATCTTGGGTTACAAACGTTTTTTAGATAAAAATGGACGAGCTGAGATATTGACCTCTTAGGACATAATAGCCTATTAGTTCAAACCCTAAATATATTGTTTAGGTAATAAAAAAAAGGTAAAAAAAAACACAAAATAGGAACTTATAAAATTGTTTATTTTAATTTAGGAACGCTTGAAAGATATTGGTAACATATTGATTATTAAATGGTTTACTCATATTACTGGCAAAAATCATTGAAAAGTCGGAACTCAAATGCCATAATATGCAACTTTAGTATTAAGTTTTAAATTTTGAAAGTCAGGGAAAAATATATAAATTTTTAAAACATTTCAAATCTAAAAACTTTAACGAAATCTGCAGCAGTGGCATACCTAGGATTAATTGCGGGGGGGGGGCAATATGGTAAAAGTAAAGTATAGCCCCCGCGCAGGGGCCGCCGAAGGCAGACAATGTTGGGGTTTGCCACGCCCAATTTTTACTCAGGAGCCGTTAAAATCGTTAAAAAATCACGCCTTCGTCACCCTCTTGCCTCTTGAATGGAAATTTTTACCCAAAAGTCGTTAAAACCGTCAAAAAAACGCCCTTTTTTTTCCAAAATTCTTCCCTTCGGTCCTGAGCTCACCGAAAGTGACCAGTTATTATTCGGTTCAATGAAGCGCCACAGTCGCTGGACAGAGTCTATGAACGCTTGACTGTCCTGTTCAATGCATTGCAGGACTTCTGGTAGTCTGGTCACTTTATATACCTATGTATAATGTCAATTAATTTTTCCTGGCTTTTCTGGGGGGGGGGCAATTAATTGCCACCTTTACAGGCAAAATAATAATACGAGTCGAATACTTTTTAGTAGAATTCAATTATTTTTAAATTAGAAAACTACTTTATAACAATCTCAATGCTACAAACTAGCAATATTTGTTTTATAGATAAAATTTTATACCCAAACTTCGTATGTTTATGACAAAATATGTAATTAAGTGGTATTTGCAATGAGGGCACGATTTATAATCTACATTCTACAATAACATAATGAAACAACCGATCTTTTTTGTCCAAAAACATAATATCTAGTCTATTACTAAATATAGAAATTCGCCAAAAAATACTTGTAAATTCTGACTGATTTGGTTAGGAATAATAAATTACCTTATTACAAAGGTATTATACTTTTTTATTCTACTTACCGATGATTTTGTAAAGGAATTTGAATTCCATTTTCAGCTTCGGTTTGCATAAAAGAGGCGACATTTTTATAATCTGCCGACCTTGACTATGGATAATTTTTCCTTTTAAACCAACAAGTTTTTTAGGAGGCATGGTTCTAGATTAAGAGCAAACATGACGGGCGCTCCTCCACCAAAAAACAATTTTACATTTGAGGCAGTTAAAAAAATTGTAAAAAAAATGGTTTAGGCCAATCGTTGTAAAAATGAACCAAGAATTTCGCTAAACCGCGAAAAACTTATATATTTAAAGAAAAACAACAAATACTTCAACTTTTTAACAAATTTAATTTTTTGGCTCTTTACCGGCATTCTATAACAAATATCTTAACTATTTTCTAAATAACTTTTTTTCAAAAAGATTACCAATTTTAAACAGGACCGAAGATTAACATAGTTTTCATTCCGATACTAATTCTATTAAAACAATGATACCAGTGAATATGGCAACGCTGCTAGTCTTTGAAGCCCGTGGTTAAAAGGGTAGCTGCTGTTTAGTTAAATTTGTTAATTCCTGTGTCGAAAAATAGGTAGTTGCTTTTGAAGAGGTGCGAAATTATTGTGATCGTCTTAGTTTGTTGTTGAGGCGTTGTTAGGTTTTTAATTTAGTTTTTAGTTAATTTATGAAATGAAAAATTGTTAGGTTTTTGTTTAATTTAGTTTTTAGTTAATTTATGAAATGAAAAATTCTGGAAGGCAAAAATGCACAGCTGACAAATTTCTATTTTATTTGTTTGCTGCCAGATTTAGTAAATCCTAGAAAAATACGACATGTGCCAATTAGGGAAAAGAGATTGTAAAGAATTTTGCACGCTTAAAAATATGTGTAATATACAGGGTGTTTCTAAATACATGCGACAAAATTCAGGAACTGATTGCTCGTATGAAATTAAGATGGGTCTTTCCTATAACAAAATTTCCTCAGCCCACCACTTTTCGAGATATCACCCTTAAAAAGTGGTGACTAAAATTGAGTTTTATTTTTTTTCTAAAATTTCAGTAAAGCTAGAAACTTGAAATTCTGTAATCGCAAAGGACTAACCACGGGTATTTTTTCAATATTTCTGTTACATTATAGGGGGGTGAAATTAGCAACACTTACTTTATTTCATATCAAACCTTTTTTTCGAGATGAACTTTTATGAAATCCTTGATTTATTTAATTTTTTTTATTCTTGATTTTTTTTCCCAAAACCAATAGCTTCAGAGAAAAAAAATTAACACCCTAATTTATTATTATTTTTTTTTTTAATAAATTGAGTGGAAAACAGTGTAACGGGCTTGTAACTATCGTATCGTACACTCTTGTCATTATTCGTTTCTTGCAATAATTTACACCAGTTTACACCAGAAGATAGCACTTAACGAAGCGTTTTAGCCACTAATTTTGGCGAATTTTAAGAAATCATTAACAAGACATTAGGGGCTTAAATTTGGGGATTATATTAAGAATAGTGCTGTCGAGGAATGCATTTATTTTCATTATGATATTTCAAAATTAAAACCCTTTTAGTTTTTTTGGGAAACTGGAAGGAATTAAAATATATGCATATTATAGATATTATTGCCTAATTTATTTTGCCAAAATTTAAATATTTTAGGATATTCTTGTCCGAAAATTATAAGGGGTATGAACACCTTAATTGAGATTGAAAGAGAATTAACTTTAATTCATGAGATGCAAAGCATCATAATTGTCGCGTCACAAAAACCACCTGCTGCCAAGAGAAAATTTTGATTCAACAGTATTGCATATTTTGTGTTCTAAAAGAGAAAAAATTAACATTTCGTGTTTTAATAGTTATTTTTTTAATTTAATAATCTATGTGAAAAAAATTTTTTTTAATACAGACTTTAAAAAAATTGTTATATTAATATACTTATTTAATTGTACTTATATTTGTTGTTCCTTTAATATAATAAATACAATTTACCTATCTCCAATTCATCCCTTTCCGTATCCATATACCTAGGGTCCGATTAGAATTAGAAAAACACCGCTACGTCATAACTATTATTTCGAATTTCCAATATACAGGGTGTCCCGAAATTAAACGGTCACATTTTAACAGCGTAATCTACATCCTACAAGCATTAGAAATTAAAAATTAAAAAAAACCGAATTCAAAAACGTGCAGATGCCGTCACCACATCTTAACCAAATTTATATAGGATCACCCCTGAGGTACCCCCTTACTACCAAAAAAGAATCATATAAATCGGACAAGGTGGTAAAGCATTATCGCTAAACATACATAAAAAATGAAGAGTGAGAATTTTCTCATGGGCCCAATCATTAGATTTTGACCAAATTTATATGGAACCATTCCTGAAGTACCCCCTTTCTAACAAAAAAAGAATCATTGAAATCGGACACCGTGTTAAAGAATTATCGCTGAACATACATAAAAAAAATATTGCGACGAATTGAGAACCTCCCTCCTCCTTTTATGAAGTCGGTTAAAAATAGGAGTAAAAGTTTATATAAACATAGGTCCGAAAACGTTTCGTTTTTGAGATACAGGGTGTTACAAGTGAAGTCCAGATGAAATATTTTCTAAAATTTCTTTAGTTACCGGTTTTTCAAAGTTAAAAAAAAAATAAAATTTCTAATTCTACAGACCTACTAATTATTGTTTACACTTTCGAATAAGGTAACATGCTTTTCTCTTGAAAATAGCGCGTCCTAGGGAGATGCAAGAAATGTAGCTTTATTATACAGAAAATATTGGTTTTCCAAATTTTATAGTCAAAAAATCTGATGTGTCCAACACATGACTTTCCTATCTAGTTATTATAGGCTTTTTCTGGTTATTTTGTACAACTTATTGCAGTATCTCTATAAATGTTTAGAGGATAAACTAAATATATACATTTTCCACATACATCTATCTACCTCGAAACATTTTTCTATAGTTATTCATTGAAAACGAAAATACTGAAAAATTTAAATTTAGCAATTTTCCTACAATTTTTCCATTACGGTCCATTTTAGAAAAATCATGTATAAACAAAAATTATAGAGATCGATATTGCAAACAACTTTTAGTTTAGTTTAGAATTTTACACATTTTGTCAAATTTCTCAAATACCATTTCAGGAAATTTTGACATAAAGCAAAAATTATAGATAATAATATTAGAAGTAACTTTTATTTGAATAATTTTCTTCTCCAAACATAAATAACAGATATATTCAATAAAATATAAAATATAAAAACGGCCTCCCATAAACTACCCCCCCCCCCCCCCCCCCAGATGTTCCGACTTTGTCCAAAATCTAATTATTTCACGTCAGGCCGAAATAAAACTTAAGTTTAAAATTTAGTGTTTTTCTGTGTATCGGTTCATGAGTTATGGTGGATATAGACACACACGGCAATTTTACCCTAAGCTCCCCCTAATTTACCCACCTAAGAAGATGATCAATAATTGGGGTTTAGTCCAATAAATGAAGCGTAAAAAGGTAAGTACTTGTAACAAATTTTTCTTCAGCGTACGACACACAACATTGCCAAATTTATGTAGCGAACAAGGTTCCAAATACTTTAAGGGGAGGTGGTGAGATTCGTGCGGTGTGACGTCAGAAGGGACTGGATTGCTCTTAAATAAAACACAACACTCACTTAAAAACGTCTTAAAATAGTCGAAAATCAAAAATATTTAACAAATAGGTGATTCCAAAATTATAACCTTTAAGTCCAATTTATAAACTTGCAATTGCCGTTGAAAGTTGCAGTTCCCGTTGGAAGTTAAAAAGCTACTTTCACTTTTACGCACTTATAATTTTTGTTGCTGTCATCGTTCGCTGTTGCACATTCAAACTCTAACGTCATAAAAATGTTCGTTCTGCGTCAGTGGCGTGGCTCTGTCGTTACTAAGCGACATAAATTGGTTTCTGCGACTGTCACTGTTTCATCTTCAGCTGGGTTCTTCTATCATGAAACGGAGTCTAGTAGCATATAAATACTATATAATCACTCCAATTGTTAACATTAAGATTTTCAAAAATGTTGTTAAATAGCTCCATCTGGCTTAATCCGTGTGCTTTGAACACACATTACTGATTGTAGACTCTTATATTCTAGCTGGAATCGCACCCCATCCCCAACAAGCAATGGCAAGACCGCACAGGCCCCATCAATTCAACCAGACTCAACTCAGATACTTATTAACCTCATATAGAGTAGGTATGTTAGCCTTAGAAACCCTAGCAAGGAGGGTTCATGATGACAGGCCACAAGCCAAGTATGCTAGAAACCCACCCTATGGAGAAGATGTTAAATGGTTGTTAAGAATTTCCAAACATTTAGGTATGTATAGACTTGGAATTACCCTGTGTTACTGTAACTAATAATATCGATTTTGCCAGATTATATTCGAGTATTTGGTGTAAACGGGGCAGTGTTTCTTTCAGGAACGCAATACCTCCACCACTTCTGCGTGTGCGCAGTAAATTCAATAGTGAGCCCGTTCGTTTTGCATGACGTGGCAATCGAAGCCGCTCAGTATCTCTCGAGGAATAATCCGAGTCTGGTGATGCAGCATCTGCGCACCGCTCTGACTCCTCTCGTGCAAAAGTGCCAACAGATGTACATCCAATGTATGCATCAGAAACTGTATCACTTAACCTCGGCGGATTACGAAGACTTCGTCAGTATCGTTTGCGCCGCCAGGGCGGCTTTTCAAATTACGCCGGACGGATCGACGCAATTTAAAGAATGGTTGCAGTCTATAAGAAGGCAAGTTTTATTTCAGTTCCCATAGGAAGTTATATAAAAACGAATTTTAATTTAGAATCGAGGGTTTCTGGATTAAAATTTTAGATTTTTTATTAATTACAAAAATGTATCAGTGCCATAATTATTAACTTGGGCCTTATTCCAAACAACAGGTCGAAATCCTGCAAAAAAGACTTATGGACGCAGATCAACACCGCCCTTCAAGCCAACAACAAATGACAAAGGCCCGACTTAGGCGCTCAAGCTTCTTACCCGTCGTATCACAGGTCCCTAACCGATAATCCAGAAGAAGCTGACCTGCCTTCGACCTCCAACCCCCGTCTCCATCTCTGCAACTTGCCACAAACTGAATTGGCTATCGTCCATCCTCATTCTATCTATATCGCACATCCTTCGCTTGTCGTAGCACAGGATGCCGTGGAGGAACAACAGCTACAACAACAGTTGCAGCAGCAGCAACAACAGCAGTTGCAACATCAGTGGTCTCCGCCCAGTAGTTGATTAGATTGCGAAGACGAGACGGTATGTTCTCTTCAGATGATTGGGGGCGGTGCGGGCGTTGAGAAAATATAAGATATTTTCATATGTCGTAGGTTCGCCGTTTAGTAATAGAACTGGAACGATAAAAACATTCATTTTTTAGAGGCGGAATATTTAAATGTATTATTTTAATTAGACTAACGATTTAAAGGAAATTTAACTGTTAAGGTGTCACTGTTATTTACACAATGTCGCATGGATCGGATTGGGAGAGTTCATTTGTATTTTGATGAGTCAACAGTTTTAGATAGGTCATTAAAACTACGCATCTAGCAGAAGAGGAAAAAATTGACATTTGTGAATAAAAAATAAAGTTTTTTGCTATTCATTATTTTCAAGATATTTAATTATATGTGTCAAATAAGTCCTCAATTTTTGAAAAGTTTGAATATTGCATTGTAAAAATTTCAACTTAGAGAGCAGAATATTTATATGTTGAGCCCACATACAACGATTTTTTATATTGGTCCACTTAAAATTAAAATAGGAATAAGTCTTAGTTTAATTTTGAATAATAAAAACTTAAATCGTATTGTAGTTTTTAAAAATTTCAATTTCGTTAGTGACATTCTTGTCTCAGGTTTTATTTATAAATTATTCACGGTTATTTCAAATGAAATACAAATATTTTAGGTAGTGCTCGAATATCACAAATTAGTCAGTTTAATAGGTAAAAATGTCCCGAATTTAGAAATAATGGAGTTACAGTTTCTCAGATATGTTTTGACTCCTGGCACTTTCAATTTTGGGAACCCTCTTTGTAAAAGGTACGCATTTACATCTCTACCGGGTCCACCGAAGTGATTCAGTTGTCACACTAACAGTGGTTGAGTTGGTGATAACGATAATGCAATAGACGCCAATTCATCACAGCTGGTGAATACAATATTAACATGTCAAATCATATTTTTCCTAATTATTATTTTGTTGTTTGATATAGTAGTTATTATAAATAACCTAATTTAGCTCATACTTACCCTCACTATTTCATTTCGATAGTCCTGCAAAGCACATTTCTTTACACAAAATTGTACTTTATTTAATATTCTCCCTACGAGTGAGGTCATGTAGAAAAAATATTTTAGTGCTATCAAGAGATTAGGAAGTTTATATAAATATTTTGTTCAAAATAATTTCTTAAAAATTCGTTATTATTTTACTGTCAATGTCATATAGAGGTTGGAAAGTAACTGAAAGTAGAAAACAAGTACTTTCTGCCTTCTTCTTCTTGAAAAAGCAAATTATAGTAACTTTTTAACAGTTAGTAATAACTCTGAATAATTAGTACATTACATATCAATGATATTAAAGAGAAAATTACGTGTAGTGGCGTTTTTTTTATATCTCTTAACCTTTTTCATCCCATTTCGTTTATATACTATATACTGATTTTCATTTTTGATGTTCTAGCAACTTTTTTTAATATTTGTATTCCATATAGGGTTCATTTCGTTAATCAGGGTTGCATTCAAATTTTTCGAATGTGTTAATTTAAATAAAAAAAAGAATCGCTCAGGTCATTCTACCATTTCTGCCTTTTCTTAGGTAAAACAATTACTTAAATAAGTAGTCAATTTTTTAATTTACTCGATTTAAATTGTACTGCGTTACATTTTCATGTTTTTCTGACCGTTTATAAACAAAAATATAAATATATATTATTTTTTTTTTTATTGAAAACTAAACTAGAATTTTATGTCCGATATAAAAATAAAATTAAATGGTCAGCTACTCAATTCGATTAGATTCCGATTTATTTTTACATTTCGAAATTAATGATAAATAAAATTAAGGCAATTCGATATATATTGTCAGAGGTTAGTGTGCAAAAAGATTTAAATAATTCGAAATAAATGCATATAATTATTTGAGAATAAAAAATCAAACTTAATATTCTGCGCTTTACATAATTTTGTGCTTGTGTAGAATAGAAAAGTGAAAGAATACGCGTTTGTTTTTTTCGTTTTTCTAACAAAATTAAAGTGTGTTTGGGAGAAACAGCTCGAAAATCTCCCATTCATTGTAATTTAAACATAAAGAGAAAAAAATTATATTTTAGTAAAGGAGCTACTCGGATTTAGGTCATTCCAACCCCTTACTGCTTGATTTTTATTGATTAGGAGCTACGAAAAAATAGTGAACAAAATATTTATCGATATTTAAAGGAAATAAATGTCAAACTTTGACTTGTGCAAAATTTGGCACAAAATGAGATAAAAGTAACAATTTTCTTTTGACATGTGCCAAATTTGGCACAAATTTTGGAAACAAAACTAGTAATAAGTATAAATTCAGATTTATTTTCAAAAAATAGATTTTATCTCAACAAAAGAGTGAAAATCTTGTCCTATTCCGTGTGGAATTTGCTAAAACAATTGCGATCCTTATTAAGATATAAAAATACTGAACATTTGCCACATAATATCTGGGATTTTCCCTTACAATCTGGATATTTGCACCTCTGTCGTTCTTCACTTACTCTTGGCAAATGATTCAAGTTGTCCGTTCTTATTTCCTGGGCTGGAATCTGCGAAAAAGGATATCTCTTTTTTTTTTGAGATTCAGTTGAGGTTGTAAGCTGGTACTTGGTCTTCCCCTTTTTCTTTCTGAACTATAAGCTCTGGTCAAAACTTCTGCGATACCAAGTTTGAATTCTGAAAGTGGTAGGTATAAATCATTATTTTTTAGGGTTCGCCTCCACAGTATCCAGCTATTGACGCATATCATATCCAGGAAATGGAAATATACCCTCATGTACCACTTTTTGGATCGAATTTGGATTCGGTAGTATCCTAACATAGAATCGAAAAGATCTACTCCCCCCATATAAGCATTATATACCGCAACACATTGAGGGCAAGTGATTTCTATATGTGTCCTAGATTTCCTGCAGAATCTGTTTATCATCGATACAGGCTGACATATGTTGACATGGTGTTTACAATTTTATTATCAAACTATGAAACAACAGATATGACCACAGCATATACATTGGCCACTGCTTCAATAACTGTACCTCTACCTTTTTTTTTTTTTTCATAGCTGCTTCCTTAGGGAATTCGAAATTATGCACACGATTTTCTCTTACTGACCCCAAAGGTAAAATATCATTTTTGGTGAGGTATATTTGTAGAGGAATGCTCGTAAACCAGTTATCAAAAAATAATTTGTAGTTTAGATTTCTTGGAATTGATTCTGAAAGTTTTACAACAACATTGCTGCTTGCTCTTAGATCTGGGTGATTATTTTTAAGAGTAGTAGCTCCACAATAAAAATCGAAATCGTAAGAAAATCCAGACACCCCACTTAGAACAAAAACCTTGTATCCCCATTTATGAGGTTTCTTTGGATTATATTGTTTGAGACTTGATGGAGCTTTTGTCGGAATAATTTGTTCATCCACGGCCATATGTTCCTCTTTAGGAACAAGTAAAAAACGTTCACGAATTTTGTTTAGCAATGGACGTATCTTGAAAAGCCTATCATGACCTGACTGCTCTTGAGAAACCTGGCGTGTGGTGTCATTGAAGTGAAGAAATCGTTTAATTTTTTCAAATCTATTGCAGGTCTTAGCACGTGAGATGCAGGGAATATCTAACGATTGGTTCCAGTAGGACCTGGTTGAAGAAAGTTGAATAATTGACATGTATATGCAAATACCGCAAAATATGCGAAGTTCTTCTTTGGGTATATTGGGTGATTTTTCAGGACTACTTTGTACACCTTAAAAGTTGACTTTTCAGCTATATAAGTAAAAATTTTGTTGGTGAAAAAAAAAAATTGAAAAACTGAATGGGATCTTCGAGTTATTGTATGAAAATTGGAAGTGTTTCATCTCCTTTGAATTTCACAAATTCTTCAGTAACAGCAAAGAACCTATTCTGCCAGACAACTTCTTTTCCCATTTTTTTGTGTTGTGATTTTTTACATTTTTTGCTAGTAGTTGATGTCAATGGTAAATTTGTATCACTATGAGATTTAGATGTCGAGGGAACATTTATATCACTATGCTTATCTTGATTAGATTTTCGTAGCCTAGAGAACAGTATTTCGTATCCGCTGTCACTGTCAGTTTCGTCGATAATTACCTCTTTAGTTGATGAAGCATTGCTTTCACTATCTGATGACTCACACAAAATTTTTGTTGGTTTTATGAGACTCATTAGTTCATTCTTTCGATGATCATCATCGGAAGATAAATTCTCATCATTAGTCATTGGAATTTGTACTTTTTTTGTTCCATAGAACTTCTTGGTATTCATCTGAAAAACAAAAAATCCTTTACAAAAATATTATCTTTATCTCATATTGTTCCAGATATGGCACAAATAAACAAAGTCAGTTTTTTCTCGTTTTTATATAGAAAAAAGTTTTGTACTACTTTAGTCATCACAGTAAACACTTATAAAAATAATTTTTTCCACACAAATTAGGCCAGAAGAACAAAAATATTCTATTTTGAATTGGTCCCAAACAAGCTAGCGCCTGTCACCAGCCAGATATTCACTAAATGATTCATCAAATTTACGCGTACGATAGTGGAGGGGATTTAGCGGCTGCCTGTGAACAAGCGAGTGTGCCAGATATGGAACAACTTGAGTTGACAGCACAAACTCTTCGGAAACTTAGAAAAAAATAATAATTTTGAACGTGTGCCAAATATGGCACAGTATGCGGTA